TGTAACACTTTAATGATAAAACAAAAGAAATTTAAAGATTTCTTGGCTAAATTATAATTGAGACTACTCTCCAACAATCTATAAGCCCTTCCTCCCCTCGGTTACTCTGAGAATTCTGAACAAATAAACTCAAGTCTATTTAGGCAAATAAGAAAAATATTGAAAACGGAACTAAAATCAACCCTCATGATCTCTCCTACCTTAATATGGTCAATTAATTTCCCATCAGTTAGTGCCAATCGATCGCAGATTCACAGCCAAATCATAAAAAAAAACATGTAATTAACAAACAATGGCTTATTGCATTTACCAATGACTAACCTTATTTCACAGCGAATATGCTGGATGTCACTAAATGTCTTAGCATAGGCTTGAATGCTTCTTATATCTACTCCAAAATATCTGCAAGTATTGGTCAAGGAACACTGCAGATGATTCTTTGTCACTCAAATCAAATGAAAATGACAGAAAAAGAGGGCTTTTGCAGGATACTCCAAGTCTGGATCTTGTTGCAAGCAAAATATGGTTTTAACCCCGATTTTACGTAGCTTTTCAACATCTTCAGGGGTCTAGCAAGCCAACAGAGTAGATAGTAAGAAAATAACATGATTCCAACAAAAAAATAAACGTTCAATATAGTATAACAGAAAGATGTAAAGGAAACCTGTAAGCAGGATCCAACAATTAAATCTGGACGAAGAAAGTTGTAGTTCATTCCTAACTCGTGCCTGTAATGTAAAACTGAAATGAAAGCACAAAGAAATCAATCAGTGACTGAAATGACCGATCAAGGCCAAGAAGAAAGGTGAGTTTGCCAATAAACAAGCAAAAGGTTCAGTGTTCTTAGTCAGACAGATGGACAAAAACTAATCATAGATGAAAGATGAAAGTAAGAGTAAGAATACAATCTAATGAACCAAATCAAGCATCCCAACATGAGACAACAACAACTGGTATAATCTCAACGTACCAGCACCCATAGCTTGAGTCATGTCTTGACTATATTCATCAGATTTCTCTTCCTTGTTTGAAACACCACTCATCTCCGAGCTAGATTTCGAATCTGATACTGCCTACACTCAAAACCAGCAATATATTAACAAAAGAATCTAGTCAAGCATTATCTGACCATTAAACTAGCGTATAGAGATGTATATATACCTTTAGAACAAGTCGAGATTTAGGATCATTAATGGCTTTGATCGGTAGCTGCAAAAGTAGTTTCCAGAAAGTTAAAGACAATGAAAATGAAGAGGGATTCAAAAGAGAAAATAGGTGAAAAAGATCTGGTACAAGCATCTTCAGAGAAGCC